GCATGACTTATCATTCCTCACTCCTCAGAGAAAGGAACTTTTGATATACTATGTGCTTTTTTATGTGTATTTTATTCTTGGGTGGAAAGAAGATATTGATCTGATATTTTGTTTATTATCTTGAGTTACAGTCTAGTCTTGACTGGTTTTTGTTTGTTTTCCTAAGCATCAGTTCTTTGTGAATAAGACTGAGAAGATTTGGTTCACATTGCTATATCTCCGTTTGTTTGTCTGTAAGTGGAGGAATGGCTTGAGATTTTACTAATTTGATGTCAGGATTCAGAGCTTTATTCTTTCTGAGCCAAATATTCTGATAGTAATAGCTCAAAGGTATTACTTCTGTATGTACTGAAGAAACATACAAAAACGTATCAAACACCACAAAGGAAGGGAATTAAAGACATCCCAGATGGAAGTGCTGAACTCTTTGTTTATGGCCTTCCAGTAAGACAGCAGTGCCTTTTTTTTGTTGTTTGTTTAGTTGTAATTGGACACAATATATTTATTGTATTTATTTTATTTTTATGTGGTGCAGAGGATCAAACCCAGGGCCCCGCACATGCTAGATGTGCGATCTACCGCTGAGCCACAATCCCAGCCCCGAACAGTGCCTTTTAACCACCACCAAACCATGTGAAAAGTGTAGATGTAGTCAATATTTTATCTTTTTCTCCGGTTTATAGGGAAAGCAAGAGAGCTCTGCAGTTACCCCTCGATTTCCCAAATCAAAAGATGAAGGATGGTTCTTGATATTAGGAGAAGTGGACAAGAGAGAACTTATTGCTTTAAAACGAGTAGGATATGTTCGAAATCATCACATTGCTTCCCTTTCTTTTTTCACCCCTGAAATACCCGGAAGGTAAGCAGAATCTTACCACTAAASTTATAAAAGAATTAAATGTGACCCTGATTAGAAAAACAGTTTTACATTTTTGTTCTATTTTCATATTCTAGGTATATCTTCACTCTCTATCTCATGAGTGACTGCTACCTTGGTCTGGACCAGCAGTATGACATTTACCTCAACGTCACACAAGCAAGCATTTCCATGCAGGTCAACACAGAGGTCTCTGATGCCTTCACTGACCTGGCAATAAAATAACCTGACCCAAACAATGCATTTGAAAGAATTTGTTAAGGAATCTAGCTGTTCAGTCATCTGGACAAAGTTGAATTACTTGATGTTTGCCTTGACAGAATCAACTCCTAACCTCAAGACATCCAGGAAATTAACAGTGGCTGTAGTATTGACTCCAGCGACACCAAGTTAGCCACAGTGGCCTTTTAACAAATGTTGCCTTTTATAATATTGTCTTCTTTCTTTACATGTAAAATGAATGAGCATGTAGAATAATCTTATAATTTGTGTATATTTGAGGTTATATGAGTTATCAATCAAATTTTACATCTCATAATGTACTGTTTACATGAATACTGGTTTTTCCTTTTTTTAAGACAAACTACATTGAGGTGTGACCATGTTAGGATTTTAACTCTGCATCATAAAATGTATAAATCTATGAGGTGATATATACAGTGTGTCTTGTGAGCAAAATTTATACTTTGATCTGATCACAATGAAATGATTTCAAGAATTTCTTATAAATGTTAATAATATATGACGTAAAATTATATTACAGAGTCCAATGACAATTAAAAAAAGAAAATAATATACTGATCTTAGAAAATGTAGATATAATACTGGTGGAAATTAAATATATAGAGTGCCACTTCAAGATAAGCTGACTCAAGTTTTTCTCCTGCTTCTCTCCCATTATATCCCTTTTTCCTCTTCTGCCCTCTTTTTCTTTCTCTTCTACTTCAACACTACTTCTCTTTTTGACATATTTATTTATGCAAGGAGAAAAATACAGTCTAACTCATGAAGTAACATGTAGAGACAATTTTTGGTCTTTATCATCCACTTCCACAGATAGGTTTCCAAGTATAATAATGGAAATATCTCTATGTCCATAAAGTTCCTTTTTGGAAAAATGTTGTTTGAAACTAAAATGTTGTTAAAGTTCAACATCCACATAGTATACATTATAGTGGAATGCAATTCTGTCTTTGAAAATGATTCCTGAATGAATGATTTTTAAATATTTTTTAATATAACTGTCACAAGTAGTAAAATATAAGTTTTTCTGAATTWGAAATTTATGGTTTATGTATATCTCCTCTTTCATGCTAAAATAAAAAGAAAAGGAGGAAGAAGAAATAAAAGTAGCATGAAGGGAACCAGGCAGTCACTTTCCAAAAATAAAATCTAAATAACTGAGATGAACATGCCAAGTAATGAGGATGAGGTGCCCCAGAAGCTTTAGATAGAGTTCTCTGTGTTTTTCTTTTGGAAGTTTATTTCCTAATTGAGATTTGTGCCTTCTCTATTGTTTTAGTGGAATTTAAAGAAAATGAAGTTTACATGTAGACAACAGTTACCAGTCCATACAGAAACCTGACTGGATACAGCCTCACCTGAAACTTCCTGTTTTCAGCATCATCTCTCTGTTAGGAAGCACGCAGGTTTTGGGAAGTAGGAAATCTGCTTCACTKATCATGACACAGGATGTAGGAGAAATTATATTCATCAGAGAGAAAAATAGTAACATGACAAATCTTTGAAGTTTCAAAATAAGGCACAGAGGGTACTAGTAAAGCAGGGTGCACTTTGATACAAAAGTTAATCTTATTCTGATGGGTCTATGATGGTATCCACACTGATTACTTACCCAAAATTTTAGTGTTATGTGTGTCGTGAATAGGATGTATAATAATCAGATTAGTCCTATTTTCAGATTTATAAATCATAAATTTCTCATAACTTTTCATGACCAGGAAATTCATCAGTATTTAAAATTATTCAAATACTGACTGCTCAGAGAATGATTTGTCCTAAAATTTGTGGGATTATTTTGTTTTCTTAGGGAGAAATGACAAAAAGATTTCAGATAATTGCCATAAAATGATTTTCTTAATTAGACTACCCACAGCCCACTTCCCCTCAGATACTGCATCATCTCTGAGCTGGCTATTACATTGTACAACCCTAAAATTCTACGGTGGGTCATTTTCATATTCCTTTGGATTTTATCAATTCAAAATAGTCGAAGTGCCGATCATATTTGTCCGAGGCACCGTGTTGGGGACTCTAATGAATTAAAGACATACCCGCTCTTCAGACGAGATAGTCTAGTGATGAAAACAAGATGTACATAATTGTGATAAAGWAATCAAAATAGTWATAGGAAGAAAATGCTCTGGGGGTTAGAGAAATATTACATAAAAATATTAAGAGATATTTAGACTGGGTTTGTTGTAGTTTTATGTTTTACTTTATGCTATTTTTACTGACATTATAATTGTACATCTTTATGGGTRTTTGGAACAYTGATACATTGTGTATTGAATAACTCAGGATATGTAGTTATATTTATCCTGTCTGGCTGTGACTTTGTACACATTAACCAATCTCTCCTCCTCAACATCTCCCCTACTCTCCCAACCTCTGATAAACASTATTTTGCCCTCTAGTTTTATAAGCTCAGCTTTTTAAGATTCCACAAGTGAGTGAAATCATGCAGTATTTGTCTTTTTATGCCTGGCTTATTTCGCTTAACGTGATCTCCAACATATCTGGGTTGCCACAGATAACAGAATTCCCTTCTTTTATGGCTGAATAATATTTCATTTGTGAGTTTGACATTTTATTTATCARTTCATCCATTGATGGACACAGTTTCAAAATTCCATATTTGAGTATTGTAAATAGTGCTTTAGTAAACATGAAAGTGTAGGTATCTCTTTGATATGCTAATTTCGTTTCCTTTGGATATATATATAGCTAATAGTAATGGGATTACTATTACATATATTGGTTCAGCTTTTAGTTTTTTGAGGAAACTCCATGCCATTTTTCATAGTGGCTATACTAATTTACATTCTCACCAATCGAGTATAATATAGTTTATTCTCCACAATCTCATCAGCATTTGCCTTTTTGTTTTGTTTTTTATTATTATTATAGCGATTCTAACTGGGTTTTTAGATATCTCGTTGTGGTTTTGGTTTGAATACCCCTGACAACCAGTAATATTGAGCAGTTTTTTATGTAATTGTTAGCCATTTGTATATCTTCTTTTGAGATGTCTGCTCAGATCATTTGTCAATCTCATTCACTGTAGCTACAAATAAAATAAAAATACGCAGGGATAAATTTAACCACAGAAGCAAGAGATCTCTACATTGAAAACCATAAAACATTAGTGAAAGAAACTGAAGAGCATAGCAAATAAATGAAGACATTCCATCTTCATGGATTGGAAAAATTAATAGTGCTAAAATGTCCATACTATCCAAAATGATCTATCCATTGAATGCAGTTAAAATGCTAAAGTCGTACTTAATTGAAGTAGAAAAAAATCCTAAAATTCATAGTCCTATTCATATGGAATCCAAAAGACATCATATAGCCAATCTTGAGCAAAAAGAACAAAACTGGAAAGCATCACACAACCCACCTTCAAAATATATTATAAAACTTTAGTGACCCAAACTATCTGTGGTGCTAGCACATATATAGACAAAGACTAATAAAATAGGATTTTCAAATCCAGAAATAAATTCATGCACTTAAAATCAAATTGTTGGCAAAGACACCAAGATCATGCTTTTGGGCAATTACCCTCTTCAGTAAATACTGTTGAGAAATCTAGATGTCCACACATAGATGTATGAGATTAGCTTCCTCTCTCACACCACATTCAAAAATTAACTTGAGATGGATTAAAGACTTACATATGTAAGATGTGATACTATAAAATTATTAGGAAAAAAACAGGAGGAACATTACATGACATTGGTCTGGGCAATGATTTTTTTAAAATATTGTTTAGTTTTCAATGGATCTTTATTTATTTAAATGTGGTGCTGAGAATCTAACCCAGTGCCTCACACATGCTAGGCAAGGGCTCTACCACTGAGCCACAATCCCAGCCCCTGGGCAATGATTTTTAAAAAGAAAATAAAGCACAGGCAACAAAAGTAAAGAAAGGAGAGAGGAAAAAAATAGGATTGCATCAAACTAAAAAGACCATTTTCAGCAAAAGAAATAAGAGTGAAAAGAAAACCCACAGAAAGGGAGAAAATATTTGCAAATTCTTCACCCAACAAGATCTTAATAACAGAATATATAAGGAACTCAAAAAAAACTAAATTGAAAAGAACACAAATAAATGGAAATACATTCCATCTTCATGGATTGGGAAAATTAATATTGTTAAAATGTCCATATGACCCAAAGTGATCTACACATTTAATCATTTAATGCTGATGATTAGAATTGGGAGGGCAGGATGAAAGAGGATTCCAGTTAAAACAGTATTAGCAAGACTCTGAAATAGTCCAGCCTAGAGTGTCTAGCTGGTCTGCATTTTCTTTTTTTTTTTTTTTTTTCACTGAAGCAAAAGTAGAAAATTTATGGAAAATCAAACAGAAAAATAACCTCAAGCAAGTAACAAAGCAAAGACTAAAAGGAAATAAGAGGAAAAATACCTAAATTAAGACAAAGCTCCAAACTATTTCAAAATGATGAAATTATATTGGATATGGTATCTAAAAGATGCAGGTGGGGGGTGGGGATCTGGTGTGTGTGTGGCTGTCAGCAGAAGAATGTGAGAAAATCCTTGCGGGGGAAGCAGAGATGCAGGCAGCCGCTGCACTGGGCTGCAGACTAAGATCCCCATAAATTAGGAAAGAGTAATAAAATTGGCTATGGACGGGGTCAGCATCAAGGGAAGGAAATGCACCCAGGAACACCCCTTCCACTCCTGGACTGGAGACTCAGACACTTCCAGGTGACTCAAATGACAGATGGGGACAACAATTAGATGGAATAGTAGCCGGAGGGAGGACCTGTGGGACCTGTGGAAGGTGGCAGGTGCAGAACTCCCATCCACTCAGAAATCTCCTGGACCTGATTTGTCTGAGTCTCCAAGGTCACCTTCCTCAGGCTCTGCAGTGGAGAGTCTCTTCAAGGCGGCTTCTAGTTCCTCATCCTCTCCCCTGAGGGGCCAGGCACTCTCCTGGGCACCTCCCCGGAGGTTCCCACAGGCCTGGCCTGAATGGAGAAGCTTCTGGTTCTTCCTGGGCTGGGGTAGTGGACATCTTTGCAGGATGCACATGTACAACAGAAGCTAGACCAGGATGGGCCTGCCCAGGTTGAGTGTGCCCAGGATGAGCACGAAGGCCTCCCTAGGCGTTGTGCAAATGGGTGATAGCCTCCTTCAGAGTTCGGGTATATCTTCTGTTGCACTGTAAACCAATTCTGCACCTGTTGCTCCTCTAGGTCGAGGCTGGAGGCCAGGGCCACCATGGTACCGTGGGATGGAAAGGGGTCCTTCAGGAAGTGTGCCTCCAGCTCCTGCATCTGCTGCTTGCTGAGGATCAACATAGACCAGTCCGAGGTCGATGGGCCCAGCATATTGCGAAGGCTTTCGATCTCATCCATGGCAGCGGAGGCTCGGTTCAGAGGAAAGGGAGGTCTGCATTTTCAAAGAGTCCAGCAAACAAAAACCSAAGTCTGTGAAGTAACCTTGAGTTAGTAAAGACTGCAAACCTTATGCACATGCAATAGAATTCTTGGAAAATTCACCAGTGGTCAGGGCTTGACACTGGAGAAACTTTCTTTAGAAAATTAATCTGTTGTACATGTAGGAATGGTATGACTAAGAAAGTCAA